CAGGTGTGGCTTCTGAACTTTAAATTTGGTCACGCCCCTCCCCTGCTGTGGCTCCCCATAGCCCTTGGGACAGAGCCCGGCCTCTTAACCCCATACAGAGGGCCCTGACTCATCTGCCCACCCTCCTCACTGGCACATCTCCCACCTTTCTGCCCTCCCTGGAAACCTACAACCCAATATCTCTAAATTGTTAGATTTCCCCAAAGGCAGACAAGCTTTCTCGCTTCCCAGCACTTACACACGGATCCCTCTACCCAGGACATGCCCCATCCCCATTTCTCCCACTGCTGCCCCCGCTTGGAAGTCCTCTCCTGGAAGTCCTCCCAATCCTTGAGACTGACCAAGCACATCCGTGGGGCTTGCACAGCACCTTGTGCATCCGCACCACAGCCCTGTCCATCCCGTGCTCACGGCCTGGTCATGGTTCATGTGTACATGACACCAGGAGCCCAGCAAGGGAGGCCAGGTCTGTCTCGGTCACCACGATCTCCCCAGCACACAATCGACACCTGCTCAGTGAAGGCAGCTGCCTTGGCCTCACCTGTTGTGCGAGATCCTGGGCCTCAAACACCAGACTTTGTGCTCCGAGGAAGCCAAACGGCACCACCAGCTGCTCCAGGCGGCCCCGGCTCCGCTCAGCCTCGCGGTAGCAAGCCTGCATCAGCTCCGGATCCCACGGCATCTCCCCAAAGGCGTAAACCTGTGCTCCAACGGCAGTCAGGTGAGAGAGCACCATCAGCTGATGGAAAAGCAGGGCCCAGGGCCTCACAGCCGATGCAGCGAAGGAAACACACAAATGGGAACACATCTTAGCTTGGCTATCACCACAAAAATGCACAATAAAAGCAACAGTAAGGTGTGGTGTGATGGGCATAAAATGGTAATACCTGGAAAAATGATAATATGCGGTGCCGGCAGGACTGAGGGGAAGTGGGCACACTCAGTCCTTGTGGCACCCATGCCCACCATCTGGTGGCCTCTCGGGGCTGAGCCCTAGGCCTGCATGAGTGGAGTCATCCAACACCTCTGGGAGCTCACAGGAAAGTTTGGGGCGATAGACTGGAGACAATCAACCACAATGGTGTGTAACTGCCTCCTGATGAGGGAGGCACAGGCAGCTGCAGATGCAGAGAGGGGCCAGGGACAGTTCCAGATGGAGGTGATTAGGGAGTGGATGCGTAATGAGTGGAAGGTGCATAGTAGGTGCTCATTTAATATCAGAAGAACTGAGCTGGCCTGCATGGAGCAGAATTCTCTGGGGACAGGGTGGGCTCTGGCTAAACAGAGGACTGGCAGGAGGGAGAGTTTGTGGGGAAGGTGACTCCAAACTGACATTATTAAGTGCTATTCTCACCATCTTACTCCTTCCCCCCACATTTTAAACAGTGTGCTGATAACCATAGCATGGTTCTCTCATCATCTTACCCCTTTCCCCCACATTTTATTTTATTTTACTTATTTTTTAAAAATATATTTTATTGATTTTTTATAAAAAAAAAAAAATAGCCTAGAAAAAAGTTGTTTCGAGGTTTTTAAAAAGAAAAGGTTGTCAAACAAGAAAGATGCAAGCTCTTCTATGACGTTAACAGCCCGCACCCGCTAGAGCCCACCTCTTTCCGCAGCCGGGCGCCCGAGGGATTCCCACGCAGGTGGCGGTCCAGGCGGTCCATGCCCTGGGCTAGGAGGGTCTGCACGGCCGCCAGTGCTGCTTCCACCATGTCCAGCAGAGTCTGCGTGACCCGGGGCAGCTGTGCGTCCACCCTCCTGCGCAGGCAGCACTCCAGGGCGCCCTGGACTTCGGCTGAGGGCGGAAGGCACTGGCCTGGGTCTCCCTCGCCACGTGCTCCGCAAGGGGGGTCCTGGGAGACCCGAGGCTCCGCAGGGTGAGGTGGGCGGAACGCAGACTCTGAGCACCCGCTCCGCCCCATTTTCCTGAGAAACGAGGCTTCGCTTCGAGTGCGGTGGGGTCGGCTCAGAAGCGATGCCGGGAAGGCCGAGTCCGGATGCCAGCCCGGCTCACGTTGTACCTGAGCCGAGTGGGCGCCCCTCCGCCATCTGACTGAGCAACCCGGGTACGTGCCACCGCCAGGGCTTCCTGTCCTCTCCACACCTAGACTCACCCGCTCCATCCCTGGCGGACCCCTTTTCCCCCGGCCCGCCCTCCTCCTAGACCCGTCGGGGGTCGGGCACAGCCGCAGGGCCACGCCCATTCTCCCGCTTAGTCCCCGCCTGTCGTGCCACGCCCTTCCATCCTCCAGCCCCGCCCCTGCGCGTCTTCAGCTCCCGGACTCCAGGCCCCGCCCCTTACACCCACCTGGGTCCCTTCTTTCTCTCAAGCTCCAGGCCCCGCCCCTCCCGGCCCCGCCCTGT